CACCAAAAATCCCAAACTGTGTCGACATTTAAAAAAAAAAAAAAAAAAATCCGATTTAAATTTAAAAAATCTGATTTAAATTTTAAAAAATCGATTTAAAAAATTTTTATTTTTAAAAATAAAAAAAGTCACCAACCCTGCATACAACAGCAGCAAAACCACAAGATCTAGGGGCAACAACAAGAAGAAAAGAGCTGCGACTGTCTTTCTTTGTCTGTTAGTTTGGTGTATGTGAGTGAGTGTGGTGTGTGTGTGTGTGTATATAAGGCCACAAGCATGTGCGTTTGTTTGTCTGTGAGTGTGTGCGTGTTTGTTTTTCTTTTTTCCTAAAATTAAAAACATTTTTTTTTTGTCACCAAGTCACTCTGTCGCAATAAACGCCGCGTTAGTTGTCACAGCGTCACTCTGTCGCAATAAACGCTATTCTAGAATTTGACTCCTTTTGTGATGTTGTCTTATTCCAATCAATATTTGGTAGATCTAGATCCAACAATTGTCTCTGACACTGACATTGTTTGCACAAAAGTAGTCTTCTTCATCTCTCATCATAATCATATGAGTTTGAGCAAGTAAGTCAAAAGACGCTTGGATAATAATAAGACGGTGCAACTCGGGTCTAAGCACTAGATTTCTATTACCGAAAAAAAAAAAAAAATTTATCTCTGCGTGCACTTTATATTTTTCCATCTCACATGACGTCGCCTGATCTAGCATCTACACTCTCTTACGTTAGGCCTAGAGAACATATACAAAGCTGTCTACTGTCTACGTTCTCTAATGTTCAGTGCTTCCAAGCATGGCATCGAAACCTGGTCCTGGAAGGTACTTGAACTTTATTTCTCCAAATGGTTTCCGTTCTCGAGATTTGTTGATAATAAGCGAATGGGGTGGCCCGTGTGTGTAAGGTGTGAACGGATGGGGTGGGGGTGGAGGGTTTTTTTTTTTTACATGAAGGATTTTAGTTTTTGCTGGGTGACTAAATGCAAAACAGGTTACTGCCAAGGTCGAGCAGTCTTGTTTTCTCGCAGTACCTTTTGGAGGTATTTTCAAATGAAGTATGTCCGGGAACATTGCCCTAAACACGACTTAAGTATCTGAATATTCAGACATTTAAAAATCTCTAGAAATTGAATTTGATGCAAAAAAATGCTTCTTCCCAGTCATCGCAGAATGGCAGATTGAAAGGATGACGCCTAAATCTCTATTCAAGATTCACAGATTTTCAGTTTTGCTGCATCTTGCCCTCCCACAGTTCTTACACCTCTCACACTGAATAGGTCTACTTGGGCTATTCTACTGTACTTTGAGCATTAATTTTTGTCTTTCACGTTTATTAATATAGGCCTATAGATATGATATGAATCATGACCGTCGATATTCTGGTTCTAGGCTCTAAACAAGATTCATTTTGGAGGAGGCTAGCCGTACTTAATGACGGCTAAACTGCCAGTCTAGCCGTACTTATTCTTAATATGATGGCTATACCGACCATTTAAAAAAAAATAGGCCTACTGAATTGTAAATACAAATTTTTAGTGTGCAGTACCTAAAGTATTTGTATTAGAGACGAAACCAGGTGCCTTAATGACAGTGCATGTATTTTAAACCTCCTGTTTTCTAATGTTAATAGGGCCTAAGATAAGTGCAGCTAGACTGGCAGTCTAGCCGTACTTAAGTAAGGCTAGACTTCTTGGCTAGCCGTACTTAAGTACGGGTAGACAGCCAGGCTAGCCGTACTTAAGGACGGCTAGACTGTCAGGCTATCCGTACTTAATATTGATGGCTGAATTGTAAATGAAATTTTTAGTTTGCAATGCCTAAAGTATTTGTATTTCAGACAAAACCAAAAGGTGCCTTACTGACTTGCAAGTATTTGAACCTGAATAATTACTAGATCTAGATCTAATGAGACCTGTGTTCTTAACAGGCTTGAGTCGATAGGGCCAAAGCTAGATCTAAGTACGGCTAGACTGGCAGTCTAGCCGTAGCTACTTCGATATATGGTTTATATATACAGGCGAGTATGATGAAGGGAAAATATTAATAAGTCGCACAAGGCCCCAGGCGCCACCACTTTCTGTATGTAATCAAGATTGTAAATATTTTGTACGTGACTCTTACTTGAAATTATCACCCAAACCCTCAAATTGGTGCGAGTGTGAAAAAACCTTGCTTTGATAAATTGATGGTTTTTATTTCTGTATTCTAGGGTTCAGGGTTCAACAGTATAATAATAATGGGTGTTTCGCGAAAATGCTTCTGTGGCGATCACCCGGAAAGTTCCTCCTTTTTTAGAATTCTGAGTTGAGACCCATGAAATTAGAGCTGGGCGAATAATGGGTTGTGGAACTGATTCTTGTGATTAGTGCTACGGAAGAGAAGTTCAGATTCCTTTTTACGTAAACCAACAGTTACCAAGTGCTTTATTAAATATTTCTGTTCTTTTTTTTTGTTGTTGTTGTTGGAATATGTTGGTGCTTCACCTTATTTTGAAATCATTGAGGTTTTGAACTTGTCCTAAATCCTGAAGCTGTTCAGAGCTGACCTGGTAACCGGTAACTTGTTGTATGTATCAGTATCATATATATATTTATATGTGTCACGACGTGGTGGAATCAGGCACTCGTCAATTTTTGGGCATATGCGGTTATTGATATCATCTTAAGGCCTGTTCATTTGCCTTGCTTTTGGTGAAAAAATTATCCATCTATATTGAACAGGAGTCGAAATATTAGCGATTAAAGGATGTCAGGGTCGTCTGGTTTCATAGGTAAAATTAGTGAAAAAATGGCCGCCAAAGTTTGGTTATTTCCATTGCTTGAGAGTCCTTGGATACCGAAAATGTACATGTTTTTCAGAAAAAATCCATGCAGAAATGTGTTTTAAATGGATATAAAAGGTGTTGAGCGGAAAAAAGAAAATTAGAAAAAAAATGCACAACGGCCAAAAAAATGCCAATTTCTTTTTCATTGTTTTGACGAGTGCCTGTTTTCACCACGATGCCTCACATATACAGTCGAACCTGCCTTAACGGAAACCTGTCCAACGCGGAAACGGAAAGAAAAGTCAGCTCCCTTCCGAGGGTTTCACCTGTCTAAGACGGAAAATGCTTTGCCTGATTTGAAACAAAACTCGCAAGTTTGGTTCCACCGTCTCTATACTTAACGCCATGTCCATGCCGCTAGGCGAGGAAGGGGAGTTAGGGGTACAATTTGGGGGTAGGTTTTACCCAACGCCTACTCTAATTCTTTGTTAGAGTAGGCGTTGATGTTACCCCATCATGTGAACCCTAAGCAATGCAGATGGTCAGGGTAGTGTGGGTGTGAAATCTCACGGTTGCCTGTGAGAGTGCCTGAGTAGTGAGCCACTACGAAAACTTTCCTGGGTAGCCAGAGGCCAGAGGTGTGAAATTAGTTTGACCAATGCCTGCCACCCTGATCGTACGCCTGCCGAGAAAAGAGTTCCTCGAATCGTTGTTATAAGATGGCAGTGAGGGGTGGTGGCATTGATTGACTGTGCTAGTTACATCGATGGGTGGGGCTATGGGTATAAGCAAAGGAAGTCAAACAGTGGTCTTATGAAAGACCAGCTCTGGTGGTAATTGATAAGAGTGACGCATGTCATTATCAGACAGGATAGCAGTTGAGAGGTGTGGAGTTTTGACCTCTGCTTGCCGATTGGACAAGTGATCCTTGATCCCACCGGCAGGGCCTTTGAAGCCTTTCCATCTCCCCTAAATTCCCCTGTCTAAGACGTAATTTTTTTCTGGCTCCCTTGTGATTCCGTCTTACACAGATTCAAATGTAATTGTCATTACCAAACCATGCGGGACTGTTCATCATCACCAATTTGGCGGAATCGCAGAATTATTTTTCAATTTCACGAAAATACGATTGAAATTGAAATAACCCTGACTCTATTGGGTTTTAAATTTCGGCAACCCCAGTCCACTGTCAACCTTCCTGGTATATAAGGGGAGAAAAACTAACGGACCCAGAGAGTCTTGTGTCACTACATCACATGCAGCTATCTGACTTTAACAGCCGGTTTGCATTGAGCCCTTGCGGTCGTTCAGTGCGACTTTGCCCTTAGAAAAACTGTCTTTAGAAGTGCCAAAGTCAGGAGTGAAGCATACATTAGGTTGACAAGGTGTTAGAAAATTCCTGGCCTCTAGTATTGACCCGTGCCCAGGAGAAACTCCACATTGTCCATCCTATGATTGATACTAAATTGGGTGTGGTGATATATAGTCTAAGATGTCTTCCATTTAATAATGTATTTTTACTTTTGCATTTTTCATAGCACGGGAGGAAGCCATTTTTAAAGATATTCAGTTGGAAAATATGAGCAATGAATTCTACGTATGTGGCATGAGTTAAGTTGGAAGGAATAATACCAAACATGATATGACTGTGAGGTACATATTTTTATTATGGAGTTTGGAGAAATCATGCCAGGGAACTTGAATGACTTTAAGGAAAAATTAGTTACTGGACCTTTTTATTGAGGGTGCATGGAGTTAGTCAAACCTTACTACTGGGGGAGGAGAGGGGGAGGCATAGAAGGCGAGTATCTCAGGGGATTTTTGATTGGGTATGCTGTCGTAAATTCGGATTATAACCCAATTTCTTCGTCTCGGCGTGTCATGAAGTTTTTATTTGGCTTAAATATGAATGACTCATTGTTTTAACGACTTAATGAACTTCTAGAGTATGGCCCTTTCTTAGTGGAGCATAACAAATTTGAGCTTAAAACTTTGACTATTGCACCAACGCTTTCTAGAGATTTAGATTTTCTATATATGTGTAAATGAATAGATGACTCACATGCGGTGAGATTCGGCTTTTTTTTTTTCGTACTTGTTGGTCCCATTTGAGAAAACATGATTGGAAATTGTGATATAAGATAGCTTGTGTCGGAAGTAGCTGTAATATGATGTTGGAAATAGTTTTATGGAACACTCTATTAAACTTATTGGTTTCCTTTATCTTTTGATTCAGAGAGAGTATGGATGTGAAAGTCTGCAGGATGGAGGCCAAGCACAAGATGAGCGGAGATCAATGCCTGCAGCGAACAACACTAGTGGCCCAAATGAGCAGAACTGCACAGGGCTGCATAATGGACATGCTGCTGACCAAAACGCTGCTCTTCATGCACGGCGTAGGAGACGGAGGTCTCAGCACGTTGCACATTCCACAACAGCTTCTTGTGAAAAAGCTCGTCAACAAGCGCCTGCGGGTACAACACGTAAGCGCATGGCATCCGCGTGTAAAAGAAAGCAAAATTGTCATGACTCGGACTCTGTGACTCCTGTAAAGCGGGAGAAAGCTGTTACGTCTCAATCCGCTCCCTGTCACTCATCAACCTCGTCAAGTCAGAGCCACCACTCTCTTCGCAGCCGGAGTAAAAAATTGGGGGGAAATCCAAATTCATCTTCTTGCCTTGATGTACCAGCGGAAAGTCTTATTGAGGCTGTGGAAGCTGGGCAGTCTACGAGAGTGGCTGAGATGTTGAAGACTTCTAGCGAGTCTTTTTCCTCTGTTTTAGGTGTCGCCCTGCTCAAAGCTGTGGCTCGGGGTGAATTGTCTATGGTGCAGCAACTCATTCATCATGGTGCAGATGTTTCTGAGACACTTGGTGGAAAAAATTGCTGTCATATTGCAGTGGAAAGGGGATATGTTGATATTGTGGAGTTTCTTCTGGAGTTCTTATCAAGGAGTGAGAGTGGAAGATGTGTTGCAAATGCCCCAGACAAAAGTGGCAACACCGCACTTTTGCTTTGTCAGAGCGCAACTAACGCAGATAGTCTCACCAAGCTTTTTCTGTCTCATGGAATAGAGATCGATGCTCAAAATCATGAAGGAAAGGCATCTTTGATGGAGGCCGTACAATATAAAAACATTAGCGCTACGTGGCAGTTGTTGCAGGCCGGGGCCAATGTAGAGCTGACAGACATGAGGGGGGATACTGCCATGTCCTTGGCATCTGCTCTGGGTATGGATGGTTTGGTGGAGGCTCTAGGCAAAGATGCTGGGGATCAAGGCCTAACCCCAATAATGAAAGCAGTAGTGGCCAAGAATACTGATCTTTTAGCATTGTTGCTTTTTTCGAGACAGTTTGACGTAAATGAGACAGTTAAAATCCCATGTTTTGAAACTAAATTGTGGCAACCCACTGACACTGCCCTCACTATGTTTTTGAACTCGAAACTTGAAACATTACTGGGACCCGTAACTTGGAGAGTAGAAAATGAAAAAAATCTACTGAACTTCAAGTCGTCTTTTTCTTTGAAAGAGCTGGAACTTGTTGCTTTGCTTGTGAAAGCTGGGGCACAAATCCATAGTCCTGGGGCCCAGAACCGCTTTTTGAGATATGATAGTCCTTTTCTGATGGCAGTGAAACTTGGAAATGTTAAGCTCCTCAATGTTTTGATGAAAAATCAAAGATGGGTCCGTAATAAGCTCTGTCATAATCATTATGATTATGCCTCAGCTCTGGAATATGCTGCCAAGAATAGTCTTTGTGATATTGTTGATGCCTTAGCTCCTGGTATTGAATTTTTGGATGAGCTGCTTAACCTTAAATACCAATGGAGATCTTATCGCTTTCAGTCTTCTTTGAATATTGCTATGAAGGTTGCCAATGAAAAATGTGTGCATAGACTTTTAAAGCTTTTCAAAAGTCTTGATGTCGACCGGACCATGACTGCTGCAGTTGAGACGGGTCGGTACCATGTGTATAAAATGATACGGTATGCTTTCCGCGAAAAGTTTGATCAGCTAGTGTCTCGTGAAGCAGGGACTAAATGGCTGTGTTTCGCATGCTACAGCAACAACTATTCAATTGTAGAAAGTCTTCTTAAGGCAGGAGCTGATGCCTCTGGCAAAGATACCTTTCGACAACCACTAAAGTACGCCATGTCTGCAAAGATGACAGAATTGCTCTTACGATATGGTGCAAGTGTGAACAAGCTTTGTTATTCCACCATCAATGGTATCACTTCAAGCTCGGCTTTGGAACAGGCTGTGATTTTAAATGCCATTGATACAGTCAAAGTTTTGATGAAGTATGGTGCCGCATTAGACTTCTACGTTCTCATTCATGCTCTTGAAAGTCCCACTTGTCATGGTACAATTCGAAACTTGCTGCTGAGCTATGATATTGATTCTTCATTTTTGAATAAGGAAGGCACTGCTTACAAATCATTGCTTTCAATAGTTGCAGGTATTGGTGATTTGGAGTCTGTTCAGACTCTTTTGAAAAAAGGTGCAAATGTAAATTTGAGTGGTTGGCGTCATTCCCCTCCTGCCCTTCATTCAGCGGTTGAGAGAAGTAATGTTGAAATAGTCCGTTGTTTACTTGATCACGGTGCAGATGTAAACATTAAAGGTTACAATGATGAAACTGCTCTGATTTTGGCTGCCAAGACAGATGATGGGACTATTATTTCCTTGCTTGTTGAAAAAGGCGCACGGCTTAATGTTACAAACAGTAACAGTCGCTCAGCCTTAATGACAGCAGCCGCATTTCAGAACTTTGCTGCTTTCCAGTGTTTAATCAATGCAGGTGTTGACTTGGATGTCAAATGCAGCAATGGTGAAACTATATTGTCCAAGCTTCTTTGCAGAAGATCATTTTCAACATGTGGAAAGTTTATTGTATGTCTTGTCAGGCATGGAGCTAAGATTTTATCCAGGGAAATGTTGTTAGCTGTTCACAACAGCATCGCCACGGGAAATTTCCAAGTGCTGTCTGCTCTGATACACTGTGGGGGTTTCAGTCCAACTGTGTTCGATGACCGCTTTGCAGTTGATAGCTCCCCTTTTTGTGCTGCAAGGTGCTATCTGGTATCTGATTTTAATGGTGTCTTTTCTCCCTTCTGTATGGCGTTAGTGTGTGGACATGAAGCTGTTGCCAGAGACATGCTGAGAGCCTTTTATTTGACAACTTCCGACTTGACTCAGTTACCGAGACACTTTAAGGTCCGAGAGCTCCTGAGACGCAGAGGGTTTAACGAAAGTCTGGCGATTCTAGACAAGATGTCGTCTTCACCGCCATCTCTTCAGCAACTTTGTTTTGCTCGTGTCTCTGATCTGTGTGGGTCTGAGCCAGGTCGCAAGGAAAGAGTGAATCAACTTGAGCTTCCAGTTCTTCTACGGGAAAGTCTCATGTTTACTTGCAGTGATCAGTTGGTTGCGGGAAGGTGCTGCCTGTCAAGAAACTCGCATGAGGCGGACTCTGATAATTCTGGTGATACAAGACCTGAAACACGGGATCGTTATATCTTGTACTAGCATTCTGAATGATGTACTCAATTCATTTTGTCACTGATATCCAGTGTCTCCCCTGTTCTGTGTCAGTCTATAATCTTTATTTATATATATAATATTTATATTTCTTCTCCATAATAGTGAAACATTTTCATGCTAACTTTTTATTACTCTCCTTATAAGTTTTTGTTAAAAACAGGCCTCAATTTCAATTTCTGGAGTAGGCAGTTGGTGTCTTTCAACTCCACATTCAATATGCAATACGGCACGCATGTTGAAAACTTTTTGGCAAGGAAAGAGCTAAATATGGCAGCCAATGAAAGTAGTTTATGGGGTGAATTAGACTAATTCGTTTTGTGCACCCGTAATGATGCAATAGATAGTATACAGAATTTCTAATTTTGTAGCATAATTATCATTTATGTACTGACCATAGTGAACATGATTTTATTTTGATAGTACACAGAGTAAAACGATTTTTGACATTTTTATTTAATGATCTTAGTGAACACAATTTTTTAGTAATAGTGATTGTACAGGACATATATATTCTAATTTTGTAACGTTTTTATGTATTGACTATATGCCTTAGTAAGTAGTGAACATAGATTTTATCATGATAGTATTTTGATAGTATGACACAGATTTCTAATTTTTTAACATTAATGATTATCAGACCTGCCAAGTATTCTGATAAAATCGGAGCCCTTAGATTTTTATTTTGGCTGTCAAAGAACTGGGATCAGGTTTGCATAAAATCTGATAAATTTTTTTTCTCTAGAATTCCGTTTTCATTGATAGTATGTGACTTATGATAAAAATGATGTGAAAATACAGTTATCAGGCGCATTTTAATTTTTTTTCAACAGTATTTGTACAACTTGTCAGAATTGACATGAAAATACAGATTTTTTTCCCTTTTTATACATAGTCGGTTTGATAAGTATCCACTGTCTACTGTGTTTCTGGAGACTCCGATATTTGGGAGGATTTTCAGGAAAATTCTAATTTTTAGTTATGAAGTGGTTGGCAGGTCTGTGTTGTGCCATGGTGAGCATGATTTTATACTCAACTCAAGCAGTGTCAAGACGAGGTAGAAACAATTCTCATCATACAAATTATTTGATGTTTACTTACATGTGCACAAATTATCATGTAAAAATGTACTGAGAGTCGACAGTTGTTAGGTGTAGTCTTGAGCTGTTTGAGCCAGTCGTATTCCAATTTTGTTACTCTATGGCAAACAAAGCAATAGTGAAAAGGCTTGTTAGCTCACCTATTCTGTGGGTGCATTTAGTTTGACTTTCTTCCATATAATGGATAATTACACGGCTCTAAGACGGGCTAGGCATAGCCCTTGTAGATCCAATGTTATTTTCATTATGATCAGAACCAAAATGGTCCTTACATGTCTTGTTCTGGAGTCCAGATCTGTGTTAAAAAGTTGAAAGTTGTTGCTGAGGTCAGCATTTTCAGACTACTGAAGCCATAATGTAGAGACTTGACCGGTCATTCATAAGGCTCAATAATGAAGTACAAGATTTCACCTTTCTTTGGCATTGCCTACAGCAATAAATGACTACTCAATGACTGTACAGTTACCTTTTCTATAATTCATTTTTATGCAATGCTGATTCTTATAAATAACATTCTATTTTAGCTATACTGCATTGTTTTTAGCTAAATAAGAGCTTTTTATTCTTTATAAGGAATTTGAACAGAATAGTGGATAGTGAATTTCTTGTTAAAACTACCGCAAGGGAAACTGGAGGCGACAAATTTTGGTGGCGCCTTTTTTTTCTGTACTTTTCTTACCGTTATAGGCTTAGGCTAGCTATAGGGGCATTAGAGTCACCAGTTTTTTCTCAAATTGCTGTTAAACATGTCATCTCACGTTTAATTCTGTTATATTACCCATACTAGTTATTCAAAGCTAGCCATTCCTCGTGTACCTACCATTTTCATACTGATTATGGGGATTTTTTTTTTTCATGTCTAATGAGATGCAGTGGGGCCGTACAAATATTGTGAGCAAGGTCTTCATCTCTAACACTTTACTTCCTACTTCTTGTCATTATTGTACTTTCTTTGTCAAATGGATGTATTCATTTTGTTGTTATTTTTACTTAAGGCACACTATATATATATACATCGTCATGCTCATTCAATCATTTTCCTGGTCTTTTTTTTTTGTTTTGAGAAAAATAACAAAATCAGTTGCACTAATAACGAAAGACACGACACAGTTTTTTAAAAACATTAAAAAAAATTATTTGTTGTTTATATTAAAATTCAAAGTTTCAAACAAATTTTGACAGAAATCTGGGGAACAAATAAGATACAGTCAAACCTGCCATGATGGCCACTTTCCCTTTCGTTTTTTCTATTTAAGTGTGTAAAATGGTCACATGTCCAATGCTACTTAATTTTATCAACCCAGAGCCAAATATTTTTGCCTGAGACGGCCAGGGGTGGTTTCAACTCGCCTGATGCTTTGTCATAAATTTTTATTTGGCCTCTGGCGCTGTAGACAGGCCGTCATAATCCATTCACCTGTCATTATTGTTAGTCCCTCCAATGAATGTTTACCCAAGTTGACCATACAATAAATTTTCGACTGCTGGTGAGAAAGGCATGTGATTGTGATATGCCATAACCTATAAACTCACCCACCACTCGTACACTAAGACTAACCGTACGTGAAGTGAATCGTTACTGTTTTGTTTACCCAATCTGTATCTGTATCAAATTAAGTAACAATGGCCGTTAATGTGAACTTGCGACAGAAGCGTCACTTGTTCTCCTCGTGGTGGCAACCCAGTGTTTGTTTTACCATGGCAGCATGGCATTCAGTCTTCATCGTCTCACATTCTTTATTTTTTCCTTGGGCAAAGTCAGCATCAAAGGAGCTGTGCAAAAATTAACAACCAAGAAAAAAAACAACAGAAAAACCCCTTCCCCCCCCCCCCCAACCCCCTTTCAAAAGAAAAGACCCTTGAATTTGCCTAACGGCAGTCCTAACCCTCCCCGGTTTTGATTTCAGAAGGGAATGATTTGCTTTCTTCATTTTGATCAGTCCTACCTAAGACGGCCACCTGTATTATTATTATACAACGTCCACTTTTCTCCTTGTCAATGGGTGGCCATTTTACACCGGTTCAACTGTAGTCTAGATGTGGCCAAAGCTCAGTTTGTCCCAAAAATGACTTGCGCAATTATCAAATGAGAGTAATGATATGTTGTAGTTCAAAATGGATAGTATTCATGGTCAATGTTGTGACAATTTATTGGATTCAATAATGCTGGTACAAGGCCCAATAGTTTAGACCAAGGACTGAGGTTTCTAACGTTGCAGAACACCAGCAGGATGTTGCAAACTGCTTTTATCTCTTTTGAAGAGGAAGTGTGCTAACACATGTAGCAACAAATACTGGGATGAGTGCCTCCACGCGATCACACACTCCCTACACGCAACTGATATGTGCGTGTAAAATTTTCCCTTGAGCACCTCTGACTGACATAAACAATAGAGCTGTCCTTGGTCTACACTATTGCCTCTGGCGTATTCTCTTTCCTCATATTATGGATGTGAATCTCTTTACGAAAATATATATATGTAAACCTTTTTTAAATTACACTTACTTACACACAGTGCAATTTTATTTATATAAGCTGTTAATACTGCGTAGCTGATTATACAAATATAGACAGGTCTGTTACTGAATCATGCAATACTTTTTTGCCACGTTCTTTCCCCATCGTGTATGATTGATTTGTACATTTTTTCAAAGTTTTTTTTATCAAATTGTTTTATCACATTTTTTTTTATTTTGTGGGTTTTTTTAAAAGCTTTTTTGAGTGTGACTTTTAATATTTTAATATATCTCCTCCCCCCAAGTAAATGTGGTCCTTTTAATCTCTTTGTGTATTGTCCCATCGGTGGGGGGAGGCTGGAGGACTGCGCTAGTAGGTCTTTCCTCGCCCCCACCCTCCAGTTTTTTTTTGTTGGTTTTTTTTTTCAGTCTCTGTGTTATATTTATTTTTATCCCATCCTAAATTACCGTAATTTTGTTGATGGGCTTCCCTTTTACAAACAAATTATTTATACATCATGATACATTAAGGTTTAACTTATATTTGTGCGGCATCGTGGTGAAATCAAGTGCTTGCCATAATTATGAAAATTCGAGAAATGGCAAATTGTACGGGCTATCCGTGATTTCAGATTTTCTGTTTTTGTGTTAAATGTGGCGGACTATCTAATTGGGTGAACTAATAATTAATATAGAACATGGCGTATTTTATCCCATTTTGGTGAACTTGAACCCCCTTCCAGGCACTGAAGTGACATTCTGTGATGTATGTGGTTAGACTGGTTTGATTCCGGTGATGGAAGTTAATTTTATCTGTATTTCTTCTGGAGTGCCCAGGCTGGTCCTGACATGCAAATTCGCCCCCTTCATGTGATCTAAATTGTGTCATTGGGGTGGAAAGAAGATTTACTATTTATACATGTGTATATATTTTATTACTATACTGTTTTATAAATTATAATAATTACACATTTTGTATCCAAACACCCGGCACTTTCCTGTTTACCTATCAAGTTGTTAATGCAGTTGGTAGATGCTAATCCTAGTCCTACACATGTCTTTCTGCTTTGCTTGGCAAGTCAAAAAATGATCTTGTATTAAGTTGTATTTTATAGATTATTTTGCAAGTACCCACCCACTGTCAATAGGATAATACTGCATCATGTACTGAGCAAGACGAAGAAATTCAAAAGCCTGTCTTAATTTTTGTGTTGTGTCTCATTGCTGGCCTTTGTCAAAATGAAATAAAGATTATAGATTAAATCTTCTTTTTTTTCTTGTGTTTGATACCATGTATGTTTTGCGTGGGTGGTTGACGAATGCTCTGGTGTGGTTTGCATCTGCTTTCCTATCAATCGTCTATCGTCTTTATCTCCCCTCCTTCTTTTCTGTGTGTGTTACCGTACTCTCTTGTAACGTCTCTAATCTTGAGCGTTTAAATGTCCTTATTGTGTTGCAAGTGCCGTAAAACACTTACTTGAAGAAAATGTGTGTTTGAGTCATGTTCGATGTATATCTACCTCGTTACCGTTTTTTACAAATGTGAAATAGTGACACGATATCTCTTTCAGGTGGTATCGGTAGCCTAGTGATTAGGGTGCCAGGCCTGTATTCATGAGATTGAGGGTTTACGGGTTTGGAGGTTCAAGCCTTAGCTCGGTCCAGTGTTGTGTCCTTAGGAAAAGCACTGCGCATGAATTTCCCATTTTGGCTCTGCCCTTCTGGAGATAGATCTTAAATAACCCAATAAAGTTGATAGGGTCGTTAAACCTATCCCATTTTTTAGCTCCGGCGGATGCTCTGGTCCTTCTTTCCTATCAAACATGTAGATTTATCGTCCTGATCTCTCCTCCTTTTTTAAATATTTATTACTCTCTTGTAACACCTCTATTCTTCATCTTCAGCACTCATATCCTCTTTGTGTGAGCAATTGCCGTAAAATCTTAGCATATGTTATCATGTCGCCTACTAAAACATTTCAGCTCCCGTATTTCTTCAGGTGACCTCTTAAGCTTAATCAAGGATGTAATAGACACATGTGCCATCAGCAGACCAAACGCAATGTTGTGGCAATTTTGAACTTCGAGGAGGATTCAAGAAGTCTTTTGTCTATGAAGGAAAAAAGATAAAGCTTTGTAACTTGGTACACATACTTTCATTTCTCTACATATTAGTCACCGTGCAGAGTAACACATTTCTGCCACCTCTCTTTGACCTTCAAAAGTCCTAAAGAAAACAAAATGACCCAGAATGGGCCCCTGACCAGTCTTCCACAGCTTCAATTGCTTCCTCGTTTTCATGGAAAGACGTCCTTTTAGTTTTTTTTTTTTTAAATTAGAAACAAAAAAGTCTAGTGTGAATAAGCTGGGTATGGCAGGGTTTCAAAGTCTCACTGTTCTGCTGTCTTTCATAAATTGGGCCGTGCTGCTCAGTTCATCTGTCGGCCCGTATAGCTTCTCTTGTAGCGTCAGTGGGGTTGGCCACGTTTCCTGTCTCAGGGCCCTGTGTGTCTTGCAGTGCTGAAGGATGTATTCGACAGTTTGTTCCGCCTCTCCACACTGGCATTTTGGTGATTGTACTAGTTTAAAAAACATTTGTACATATGTTGTCTCAGTCTTGTGTGTTGTGTCCTTAGTCTGAAGATAATCACTTGTTCTTGGCGGGACAGCTCATGGTAGCCATCTGGTGTCTGAGGTGCTTTAAATAGTGTATTTATAATAGTTTTTATTTCTGTGTAGTTAACGCTGTTGTCTGGTTGCTCTTTCTGTGCTCCTAGTTTGGCCATCCTGTCTGTCTGCTCCTTTCCTAAGACACCACAGTGTGATGAAATCCACTGCAGCATGATCCTCAGACATGGGATGTCCTCAATTACTTTTCGTAGCCTCGGTAGTTTGCCGGAAGTGATTGCCTGCAGTACTGACATGGCATCTGTTAGGAATACTACTTGGCTTTGGGGGTCTACCATATTCTTGATGATGTTTGCTGCATGTATTAGAGCCTCTGTCTCTGCCCTTGAATGGTTAGTGGGTCTCCTTCTTTCCTATCAACGTTTTTAAACATATTTTATGTTTGCTATTCTCTTGGAAAACCTTTATGGAAGGCTGGTCGGCGGGTGCTCTGGTGTGGTTTGCTTCTTCTTTCCTTAAAAACATCTATCGTCCTTATCTCCCCTTCTTCTTTTTTATGCTTGTTACTCTCTTATAGGGTGTGGCGGCGGAGTGGTTAGTGCGCTTGTCTCCGAAGCGGAAAGTCCGGGTTCGAGCCTCAGTTCGGACACGCATTTTTTTCGCCCCCTACTGCCCACCCAGCAGTAATGGGTACCTGACTTACAGGGGGAAGTAAAGGCGATGTGGAAAGGAACTGGCCACCCTGCCACAATATGCTGAAGGCCCAGGAAGTTGTCTCACTAAAAAGGCAATCCCCAATGTCCGGATCGGATGTGGGAACAACTTTACTCTCTTGTAACACCTCTAATCTTTTGGCGCTCATATGACCTTGTGCATTTGCCAGCACCGTAAAACCCCTACTAAAACTAAAAAACCTCTATGGCACTTATAAATTATATGTTGCAAGTGCCATAAATATTACTGAAAAAATAAATAAATGCTTGTACTCCAAGTTTGTCTCATACTCATACCAAACTTCCTTTGTCTGTCCCCGTGGTTTTATGCACCCCGCCTAATTTAGCAAAATTGGATCATTTTTGGCATAATTTCGTATTATTTTCGTTTGTCTTTCTTTTTTAAAAATTAACAGAATCGCATAATTTCACATTTTTGGTCTCAGTTTGCATACGTGTAATTTCAGAATTTTTCTTGCATAAAACGACAGGGACAGTTTTATAGGTTACCACCACACTTGGCTAGGGTGCTGATGCTCCGGATGGGGATAAAAGAAGGATTTAATCTGTTCGATATTACATCACAATAATGCATTTGTAACTTTCGGCTACGATTGGTCAGTGAGAAACATTAACCCCTGTCAATATTGCCACTAGGCACTGCCTCTCAGAAGTTTGAACTGTGTGTAAAAAAAAGTACTTAAAGCCGCGCTCTTTTTAATCTCCGTCTAAGTACGTGTAAGTTTTCAAAATGGAACATAATAATTTTAATATATAGCATTAGGGATCTTTTGCCTCTTTGGTAACTTAACTGTGCTGAAATTCGTATCGGAGTGAATGCGACAGGTTATCAGTGAGTGAAGATTATGCAAAATATAAACACAAAAAGCTAACTAACTGTCCTGTAGATTTAATTAAACACATCCGCACCAGACAGAAATAACAGAGGAACATGACTGGTGGAAAACCCTCTGTGAAACTCTACACAGATTTATAGAGAAAGCAAACAAAACAAAAGATTAAAACAAACAAAAAACAACAAACCACAAGCTCATGTAGAGTTACATTTTGCTCGTTTTATTTTTCAAAGCAAGAACAAAAAAACATCAACAAGATTTCAGATGGGAATTTCCAGTATTAAGTACATCATTGTGGCCTCATTTGGTACTCATAAATATTGCCGTGAGCCTGTGTGTGTTCGTGCTCACTCAGCCCAAGTGGGTGGACCCTGGGTCACCAAACGAAGCCCTAAAGTCTGTTTATCAATGACTTGAATGACTTTCTCTCCGCACATCATGAAGGTGTGTGTGAATTTTCTTGCAAGATTTTTTGTGTGGTTTATTTGTCTTTATGGGAGGGAGTACATGTCGGCCCCAAGACTATCGAGCGAAAGCTTGAGGTGAAGGCACATTAAAGTTTGCCCGTGACCCTAGTCCTTTACACCTCCACACACATCGTGGGTGCATGTCACTTGGAGGTCATGGCCGCCGAGCATAGCCCTTAAGACACAGCAGATCACCGATGACCTCGTCATCTTCTCCAGAGGCATCTATGAGATGAACCTGCCGAAGACAAAGAATTAAGACATGAAAAAATTATTCTATTTAAAAAAAATAATTTTTGTCACTTTTAATGAGGAAAAACAACCTCACAAAATTCCATACTTTGGTTCCTCCAGGCAAACTCAACACTCTCTAAATTTATATTTCGGGGAGGGGGGGGGGGGGGAATATACTATGGATTGGAGGAGGGGAAAAAGGAGAGGGGTGCTGTCTTCGGTATTTCTTCATACTTCACATGTCTTCACTTCCAGAAGTTCCCTCCTACTTCATTCCTCTCCCCCCCCCCCCCCTCTCTGTCTCTCTTTCTGTCTTGCTGTTTCCTTCTGCGTGTACTAAATACATGTAGCCGTTAAAGCGCCAAAGTGCTTTAATTTACTCAAACAAGAAAACTACAAACAAACAATCCCAAAAGAAATGTAAATCTAGCTTATCGGTACCTCTAAAGGCTTTAAATTAAAACTGCTTGGGTTGGCCTTGGCTTCGTCCAGTGGGTCCTGCTCAGTGCTGTTGGGTGCCGGTACGACGCAAGCGTTGACGATCTTGTTCATGACACGGGACATGAAGTAGAACTTGGAGGCTTCGGACCACTTGTTGGAGATGGGAGTGATCGCTGAGCAGAGGAGGAAAGCAGAATAGTACAGCTTGTTAACTTGAGGTGAATGATGAACGACGCATCACTACAGGGGAAGGGAAAGGGGGGGGAGTATTTGTTCAGTAAGAAAGAAATGGTGAGGGAGAGAGAGAGTCAGTTGAAGTAGTAAACGAGAAATATACTGAGAGAGAGAGAGAGAGAGAAGAGAAAGAGAGGGAGAGAGAGAGAGAGAAAAGAGAGAGAAGAGAGAGAGAGAGAGAAAAAGAAAGAGAGAATCAGTTTAGTGAAATAGAAATATACTAAGAGAGAGAGTGAGTGAGAGAGAGAGGGAGTGAGAGAGAGAGGGAGACAGTTTAGTAAGAGGGAAGATATACTGACACTGAGAGAGCAGAGAAAGAGAGGGAGAGAGAGAGAGAGTTTAGTAAGAGGGAAGATAAACTGACACAGAGAGAGCAGAGAAAGAGAGAGAGGGAGAGAGAGAGAGTGAGAGAGAGAATCAGTTAAGTTAGAAGAGAGAGGATATACTGACTCAGAGAGAGAGGGAGAGAGAGAGAATCAGTTTAGTAATAGAAATTTACTGAGAGAGAGAGAGAGAGAGAGAGAGAGAGAGAGAGAGAGAGAGAGAGAGAGAGAGAGAGTGAGTTTAGTAAAACTGTCACCGTGGTTTTATGCACCCCGCATAATATAGCAAAATTTTATCATTTTTTTTGGCATAATTTCTGGTTATTTTCCTTTATCGTTCTTTGTTAAAATTAATAGAATCACACAATTTCACATTTTTGGGCTCAGTTGCATAATGTCATAATTTTCCTTGCATAAAACGACGGAGACAGGTAAGAGGAAGATTATACTGACACAGAGCGAGCGAGCGAGCGAGAGAGAGAGAGAGAGGGAGAGAGAGAGAGAGAGAGAGAGAGAGAGAGAGAGAGAGAGAGAGAGAGAGAATCAGTTTAGTAAGAGAGAAATATACTGAGAGATAAAAAAAACAAACAAACAAAGACTACCGTACTTTTGAAAGATGAAAAATGAGGGGTAGAGACTAGAGAACAAACTACAAAGTAGCCTAGGAACTATTTGTCAGCCGTTACCTCCAAGCCCCATCCGATGAGCCAGGAAGGGCATGGCGTAGAACCGTTTCGGAAGCTGGAACAGTTGTGGTGGGAAGACAGTGTCAAATCTACCGTG